ACAAATTACTTCCATTGTAGTGATTGATTGTATAAAAGTCACCATCAGACACCATGTGTGATCACACATGTTTGCAGTAGCTCTTTCCATAAGACCAAGGCAAAGTCTTAAGTCACATTGTGTTTGGTATCATGCCATGCAACTTACATTCTCATGAATGTAATCTTTCCAAATACAACTGTATGAGTATTGGATCTTTGTGGAAGCTCGTGGAGACATCAGATTTTTCATGAAAAATTAGGTCAAAATTATGACAGGATACACCCCAGTCAACAGTGTTTCCAACTTGGAAACAGGTCATTTGCAGATGTTCCCATCCACACCCTGCCAAGTGCATTTTTTTATGTTTTTTTGTGTTTACCACCAATAGCACACCCATTTCAATTAACTTCTATGAAAATCATGGATTTGGGTGCCATATGTAAAAATTTAAGCTGTAGCAATGCCTAAAGGACATTCATTTTCAATGCTTTCATTTATTAAGTATGACTAAAACACATTAGCCGCGCGATTTTTTTAGAATCATTCTTTTACAACCAAGTTTTAATAATCAAAATGGGTTGATAAATAATGCATTCTTACAGATTGTAGTCATAAATGTAGTCATGTCCTATTTTGTGCTGTGTAAAAGCATGTTTCTATTCTTGTTTCTTGTTGCCCTTAAAACATAAAAGGACAACTGTTGACTTCTGATTTAGAAGGAATAAAGTGCCCCTAGATATCAATCATAAAGAATTTCAGCCTGATGCAATTTTGGTGACGTGTGTTTCTCACCATGACAAACCTGCTGAACAAGCAATGCAGATGTTTCTATAAACAAAAACATATAAGTAAACAAGTAGATAATATGCATCTCTCTATTGAAGAAGCTTGGAGCAAACTGGAGATTTCCAGTTAGAAAAGGAGTTGAGGCCATGTTAAAACTGACGAATAACAATAAAAATATTACAATATACAAAGATGTGGTAGTTGACTCACTTGATGTACAGATATACAGAAATGAATGAAGTGACTACAAGACCAAAAAGAATTACAATCTCTTCCTCTCGTTCTAATTATTTTTATATATTATATATGTTTTCAAAGAGACACTCATCCTTCGGCTCAGATCTACCCAATTCCTCTGCATTCGCAAGAGTCAGCTGTGGGAGGAGCAGCATGAAATGATAGGCTGGTTGAAGGACCTTTTATGACAAACCCAGAAAAAAGGGATTTTAGATGCTTGTGTGAAGCTGAGACCCCAGGAAAATATGTAATTACATTTAATCCATGAAGTTGAGATTCAAGGTTCTCCAATCTCAAGTGTGTATTTCCTGATTTACTCACTTTGTCTTGACTAATGTAATCAAAAGTGTGAGAAGGGTTGAAGTCAATTAAGAAATGATCACTCCAACTGTTGAAAATGCAAGAGAAAATGTCTGATTCTTCTATGTGGACAAACTATTTGGGATAGAATACAAAGTGGTTCTGTAGGCAAGTTTTGTTTTGTTTTGTTTCTATTCTGCAATAAACCTAGGTTGTGTATCTGTGTGGATATTTATATACATACACACAAAATTGTAATATTTTAATACTTCTCATGCGAATGTCATATAAGTAGCCATTTTTCTACCTCAAGATTTTCTAAATTTCATCTTATTTTCTTTTTATGCCTCTAAATCTTACAATTTGACTTCAAACTCACTATTTATTACCATATAAACATCTTGAGTCTTATTATAATGCTACCACGTTTTAGATTAAGCAATAACAAAAATTTAAAAGGTTTGTATTTTAATTTTATATTAATGAGGATAATACATTAAAAAAAATGTACAAGTGAAAGATAAATATTTAAATGAGCCAATTTGATGCACAATATATAAATAAGCATTTACTATGTATAACAAATGTGAAAGTTTAAACAGTTACATCAAAATTATTAATTTTTGTATTAAATGAAAATGTATAGTTTTAATATTTACAAGATTCAAAGTTATTTTTTATATCATTTTAATTTGAAATTAGTAAGAATATTTTAAATAATAGATTTTGAAGTTTTAAGAAAAATATTTTTAAAAATAACATTCAAAAAATATTAAAAAATAATTGAATTTTGCATGAAACTTTACTCAAAAGTTTTATGAAAATAAGGTTTTCTAATAATAATAATAATAATAATACCATTAGTTATTGCATTATGAACAGACATATTTCATATAATTTGTAAAATGAATTGATTAAATTTTAAAAATAAAAGAACAATATAAGTAGAAAATTGCAACAAGTTTTTCACATATATTTAAATAATGACAATGCATAACAAAATTATGAAAAATATATTATTTTACATACAATTAATGGTAGTTTGCAATAACTTGAAGAAATTAAGAAAGTTATCAATATTTAATTAGAAAATTTTTAGAATTCAAACATGATTAAAAACTTCATCTCAAAGCTAATTGATGAATTTGATATGAAAGATAATTGGAAATAAAATAAAAAAAGGTTTATAAATTATCACATATAGTTATAATTTCAAATCCATGTGAAATCTAAAAATAATTATAAATAATATAAATTAAATGAAGTTTCCACAAAGATCATAGTAAAATATTTTTGTCAAGAAATCTCTACAATAGTCTTGCAAAAAGAAATTTACATTAGACAAGTTCTCATGATAAGTCAAGATTATAAAAACTTAATAAAACTGAAATATTTTTGTCATAAACATAAATTAATGATAAAATAAATTAATTATTTAGTCACTAAGTAATATACAATAATAATTATTTAATATCAAAACTTATATATTAAATAATTATATATTTAAAATAAAAATCATGTTATTAAAGATTACAAGGGCTTTAATGTAACAAGAGTCACACAAAGAATAACTTAGAGACATGAAAATAAAAATTATTTTATAAATTTTAGAATCAAAATATAATATTATTATACACAATTAAGTACATATTTATATCCAAAATAACAAGTTATTACTATATATATATATATATATATACATATATATAAGTTTAAATAATCTTAAATAAAAATAAAATTACCAAAAAGTAATTAAATAATTTATTTACAATCTTAATCTAACTCCAATATATATTAGTTATTAAAAAATCTAGACATTTGTTTTTGAAGACAATATGGCTTTTGGATCAAATATCCAAATTTAAAGTCACTCTTGTAAAGAATTCTAAAATTTTATTTTCTTAATTTTTATTTTTCATTGATATATATATATATATATATATATATATATTTCGTTTTATTTTTTTTATTTTTTTTAATTTCCTCTACTTACCTAAGTTATGTAAATGAAAATGACATAAGACATATTAAACATAAAAGCATCGTATATATATATATATATATATATATATATATATATATATATTAACTCACTTTTTATGGTGTTAAATTTATTTTATTACCTTGTAAGTTTAATTAAAAAGTTGTACTCTTAGAAAAATTTATGGCCTCATGCTGTATTGTTTTAATGAATTTATTTTATAAAAAACATTTTAGGTATAATTAAATGCATTTTTTGTACACACATGCCAAAGTTTAGTTTTAAGAACTCATTCATATATATATATATATATATACAAACATAGTAACTTATTATTTTATGAATGTTTTACTAGAAAATAATTATAAACTAAGTAGCATGAGCAGAAATAGTTTATGATAGCAACCTAGTATTGTTTTTTTTGCATTGTATTGCATTTCATTTCAATTTAGAATCAATTATTAAGAAATGAACGAAGAATATTCGATATGAAAGAGGCCATTAACGAAAGAGGCGTAGGCTCGAACTTAAGCACCGATTGCTTTCAAAACCATGTCCCTTGGATTTGGATTTCGTTCATTACGTCGGCGCAACTTGCCGCACGAGCCATAGAATCTAGGCAGCAGCACCCAGCCAGTCTGTCAGTAACCACAGCGCGATATGGGTGTCCAACGTTTTAAGCAGACGCTCCAAAAGATCTATCAGAATAGAAACCATGCTCATAATTTTCCATGATTTTGTTTATTTTTGTTCCTTGCACTACAACCCACTTGTACGCAGCCGTGTCTTTGCAACTTAAAGATTTTTTTTCGATTCCAGATGACAAAAAAATCGTGAGGTTTCGTTTTCATCTCGCAGATCACAGTCATACAAGATAGAAAGAATGCACATCTGCGTTGGAATATTACAATCACACAACAGGGTCATTTAAACCTTCCAATCTGAGAGTTAGTTACAGAGAATTTGAGATTAGTTCAACGGTTTATCCTGTCCTAGTAACCTCGTTCGTCTCGTCTGCCTTGACAACTGTGATCAGTGGTGGTTTCCATGCTCGTCCAATTGGCAGATGCACCGACTAATTTCTAACCCTTTACAGCTCTGTGAGCTGGGGCAAGAGGGAGGCGAACTGCTACCACGTTCCATTCGTGCCGCCAAAAAAGCAGTGAATCGGACCGAACACAACAAAGGGATGATCTCACTGTACAAAGAAAGCACAGACTTTCTTAGAACTCTCGACGTAAAGTTAAAGTCATCATTGAAGCAATTAAGCCGAAGTTATCGATATCTCAAAGTGCTCAACATGCTACAAGGACGACACCGTACCTGTAGATTGTAAATTTAGACCAATGCCAGAAGAATTTAGTGAAATTACGATACTATGTACATGCTTGCACATGTGTGAACCAGTGCACATGTACACTTACTGTTTGTAACAAAGCAAGAGCTGGTGTGCATACAATCCGAGGTTTGAGGAGGTTATTTTCAGCACATCCATACTACAATTGGGTGTTACACACCAGCCCATTTGCGCCGGCGGATTACATCAAGCGACTGAATGTCAACGGCGATGAAATAAATAGGCAATCCCTAGGCGGGAAGTGTAACTACTCTGGACTTTCATCCGAAAGTAGCGTGAAACGCTAAGTCGCTACCGTCCACTGGTTTACTTAGCAGCGATTATCTTTACCTCCGAGCCCGCGTACTTAAATCCACCCACACTTGAATAAGGCGAAGGGTGTGTGTCCGTAACGTGCTGCACCCAGACGTACGTCCTGCCAGTCAGCTCAATTGGCGGACACGGGCTGAGGCAGTTGAATGTGAGTTAGACGTGAGTGTGGGTTTCGCTAGCCGCTGAGGATCGGTCAGCCGTGACTGCTTTGCATCCGACCACCTCAACGTGCTTGTACAATTTGTGATTTCCCTGCCGATATCTTATAAATCCTCAGTCCGGGGCTGTTCCGACCATTTCTGCATACCATCATGGCTAGAATTCATCGAGATGTATCCGTTCTTGGGTCGATGGCGCTAGTTGCTTTGTGCTTGTATTGTGGCGTCGCTGGCGCAGTTCTCAATTACACGCCTGGCTTACGATACGATTTCTACAAGAACAGCTGCCCACGAGCGGACGACATAGTCTTCGAACAGATGACGGAGATTTTCAAAACAAAGCCCACCGCTCAGGATGGTGATTTCGGCAAGAATGTGGCTCCTGACCTCCTCCGGCTTCATTTCCATGACTGTTTCGTCCGTGTAAGTCATCAATCTCACACCGCGTGAACGAGAAAGTGTGCACCGCCACCCTTGCATTGCAAGTTTCGCCTTCCGGAATCCAGGCGCCTTCGTTCGCATCCTGGTTTCCAACTTACTCCCTTCAGCTGTTCCCATAGCGGCGGATCTTGTGTTGTTTTACTGTGAAGCGTCAGCGTCGCACCCTCAAAAGGTTTGTTTGAATGCATGTGTTTGACCATCGTACTGATGATGAGTGTGAAACGTGGTTCTTGAATGCCACTCCAGGGTTGCGAAGGTTCAGTTCTTATGGACAAGCCCGGATCGGAGAAGACCGCACCTCCCAATGGTCGCCTGGAAGGATTCGACGCCGTGGATAAAATCAAGGCTGCGCTTGAGGGGGAATGCCCGGGGACTGTCTCCTGCGCCGACCTGCTGGCATTTGCGGCCCGGGACGGTGTGAGACTGACCGGAGGATTTTTCTACAGGGTGCCCGCCGGACGCAGAGACGGATACGATTCCATAGCAGCCGAGGCGACGAAGAACCTGCCCGACCCACGGATGAACGTCGACCAGCTGACCCTTAACTTCAAGAATCAGGGACTGACAAGAGATGAGATGGTCATCCTTTCAGGTAAACGACGATGCGACAATCCCTTGACTCCTCACCACTCGCATCTTGTTGTACCTCCACATCTACGCTTGCATTCCAATGCTGGCAATCTCGAGAGGATGCAGCGATCAGAGTGATGTTGCCTGAGCAACTGATGCAACGAGTGGCAATCCGGCGGCATTCGTCGTGATTACAGCGAGATCAGAGTCTCATTAGAACGATGTCTGATGTGGACCCTTGATTGCAGGTGCTCACACTATTGGCGACGTCGCATGCCACCACATCGACAACAGGCTGTACACTTACCCCGGAAACAATGGGGTCGTCCCAAGCCTTCCGAGGGCGTTCGTCAAAAAGCTGAAGGGTATCTGCCCGCGGCCGAATCTGTTCGATATCACCGTAGACATGGATCAGGTCACTCCGATCAGATTCGACTCGCAATACTACAAGAACCTAGCGAGCAAGACGTCCGTGCTGTCGTCGGATCAGGTTCTGTACGATGATGTAAGAACTCGGCCCCTAGTGAGGGTTCTGGAGAGCAAGTTAGCATTCTTGAGCAAGTTCGGACCAGCGATGGTGCGGATGGGCAACATCAATGTGCTAACCGGAAACCAAGGCGAGGTTCGTCTGAACTGCCGACGAAAGAACTCTCCGGGGTCAGCGTGATTGCAGAACTTCACCAGGAGACTGTGCGTGAAGCGGATCGCTTCAACTGACCAGACAATTGCGTTGCAGAATTCGCCGCAGCAACAACTTGGCGATGGGGGTGCAACTACAGTGCTGCGTTTGTAAACGCCGCAACTGGGAGTGTCGGTGAAAGGGGTCCCGGTGTCGGACTTCAACCAACATGTTTGGAATGATCTTCTTGAATATGTCAACTGTTGTTGACGCCTTTTCAAACTGTAGATTGCTGTTTAGAAGCGTTGTTAGCTAAGACTTTCATACAATTTTTTCTTACCCTGTCAAGGTTGATTGACATGGGTCTTTACAGAATAATGTTGATGAATAAAGAATTCTTTGATAATGGAATTAGTTCATAATTTTTAAGGAAAGATGGCGGTGCATGGTTTTTTTGGTTGAAGAGTCTATTCCTATGTTCTTGTCATTGATTATAAATTTCTGTTTCTGAATGTTGTTACAGAGAATTTTACTAAGTCATTCATGGCTTAGGATTGTTAAGGAAAAAATAAAAAGAATCGGTAAAATGGATTTTTTCCACAAACTTTACACAACAACAAAAATATATGCTTGATTGATGTATTTGTTTTTTGACGTGCTGTACAAAGCAACACCAAGCTGATTTGATTTTAAAGAAAAAAAAAAAAAAGAATAAACAAGGGTATCATTTTTGGATTTATTTGAGTTTACGACCAATTTACCTTGAAAAAGCTAAATATTTTTTTTTGTATTTGTACTTTTATTCATTTCGTTCTTTCTTCTTTTCTCCTATTTATTATGGTATTTTATTTGGGTTTTTTGTTGAGTTCTTTAGAAGTCCAATTGACTTGTTATTTTATTACCACAATTTTTAAGATTCAACAATTTAACTTGAAGTAGATATGAAAATGTACAAATACTTTCAATTTTCTGTAAAGACAGCTAAGTGTGGCTTATGAAAAGCAATAAATAATGAATCTTAGTACAAGCTGGAAGAATTTGAGCATAGGCAATATGCAAATTATAACTAGATTGATTGCTTATAGACAAATTGTTACAAAAAGCTAGGTAGTATGTTTGTTAAATAACAACAGCGACAAGATTTCATCTATATTTATTATGATAATTATTAAAAATAATTGAAAAGAGATTTTAATTAATATTTTTTAAAGTCTTCAAGCCACATCTTAAAATCCAATAAGATTGTGTATATTTGAATACCTACATTCTTAGAATCTCAAGTATTCTTTCCATCTTTCCGCATAGAAACTATTGATGTAGTTATCTTTTGCGACTCCTGGTTTTGTCAAAATTATAGTAAGGTAATTCAACCTAAGAAAATTGTCTTCAATTTATAAGTTAATTTTATCAAATTATTTTATCTTGTTGTCTTCAATCTACTCTTCAAATATTCATATCTTCATGGACAAGTATGTCAATTGTAATTTCTTTGTTATAATTTTCTTTTAATGATAATAGCATGACTTTGAAGCTATTTATAGCTTTTTATAGTGATTTTCTTCTAATACTAATTAAACATAATAAAACTAATTTAATTTATTTCTAACTACTTGTAACTATCAAAGGTAATTTTAATCACCTTGTCTTTTAAAAACATGGGCGATTGATCCCTTTGCCTTTTCATATTCTCTTATCTTTTCTAATCTTATTTATACTTGTTTTTATAAGTTGATTTTATTCTTTTTTTTCTTCTTTTATACTAGTCTATTATCTTTTTATTTTTTTATAATACATCTTTTTAATAATATCTTTATTAATTTTTATTTTTAAGTTTAATATTACTTCTTCCCTTCAAAAGTAATTCATTCAATGTGATTAAGCATTAAGTTAAGTTATATTGAACATGTTGTACTCTTTCATTTTTTTTTTCTATTTATTTTTATAAATAATAAACTTCTTGATCTTAAGTGTTTAGATTTTCATTCAATGAATTTTTTTCACTTATTAATGCTTTTTTTTTCATCCAAAATTGTTTTTTATTAGTTTTAAGAAAAAACTAAATCATCTTCTTATATATGACTTGTATTGAACTTGTACGGATATCTTAAAATATCTCCTTAAATTTTACTTGACTTATTTGAATATGTTGTTTTATCCTCCAAGTTGATATGGAACGTCTTTCCATAATTTTTCTTAGTATTATATTGTAACATATGAAATGCATATAATTTATAATCATTTAAATAGGTAATAAAATCTAACTTATTCTGCAAATGAAAACTCAATCCTTAATTAATTTTTAATAAATGATAGCGATCACAAAGATACCACCCTTGTCCACCTTCATTGTTAGTGAAAATTTGGGGCGACGGTAGGGTCACCTTAAATTCCTCCAATGAAGGTATAGAATAACTTAATTGATAATGGCAGAAGTTACCACCTCTCTTGTCCATCTTAAGAAGAAAAGAAAAGTAGTTGCTGAAGCTATCATCCTCTTTTCTATTCCAAAAGAAATAGATAAGTGGCGCCCGCAACCACCATCTGTCGAGGACAAAGACTCGATGAGGAAAAATATACACCAAAAGGCTATCTCGATATAATAAGTCAAAATATAAACAAGTAGGTATATTAAAAGGAAACTGGAATGGCTATTGCCACAAGACAAGAAACTAAAGACTCTTGAACCTGGACTAGAAGCAAGAAAAGAGTTGACAAGAGTGAAGAAGCCTTCACTCTTGTCTCTATATATACTATCTAACTAGGGGCTACGTGGCGACGTTCTATAGGACCTCCAATATGTGTTGACTTTGTAGGACACATGCCTTGACTTACAAGGCAAGTTTTTCTACGTGTGGACCACATAGTTAGCTTGATCTTCAAGCTAACAACATGTGTGGCACATGGCCAACTTGTTGACCACGTTTCTAATCCAAAAAGTCAATTAAAGACACCTATGAAGTCAAAGCAGCGTCTAGGAAGTTTCTAGGAAGCTTCTATATTAAATATTATATAATTAACTTACTTTTATCTACTTTTACTTACTTCTACCTATTTCTATATGTAATTATTAGCTTACATGATTATGGCCGTGACATTACCCCCCCTTCTATTATTATAAGCAAACTCTGCCAATGGCAGAAGGGTTGTCCAATCATCTTGTTGGTAGTTGATAGTACACCTTAAATATTGCTCCAAGACTTGGTTTACGCGCTCTGTTTGTCCATCACTTTGAGGATGGAAAGCCGAAGATAGCTTTATGTCCACTTTTAAAATCTTGAAAAGGGTCCTCCAAAATCTTGACACAAATTGAGTTCCCCTATCCGATATGATATCTTTAGATAATCCATGATAGCGATAGATATTATCAATGAAAAGCTTAGCTGTTTCTTCACCTGTGATAGATTTTGTACATGGCACAAAATGTGCCATCTTGGTGAAACGATCTACTATCACAAATATAGAATCATAAGATCTTGAGCTTGGAAGATCTGTGATGAAATCCATAGAAACAGAAGACCATGGTTGTTCTGGTATAGGTAATGGCTGAAGAAGTCCGTAAGGTCGATGACGAGGAATTTTTGATCTTGAACAAATATCACATGATTGTACAAAGTCTTTGACTGACTTCCACATTTGTGGCCACCAAAAATCTCTTGATATGAGTTCCAAAGTCTTATTATATCCAAAGTGCCCTGCTGCTGGAAAGTCATGACGTGCTTGAAGAACACGTAAACGTGCTTCTCCTTCTGGAACATATAGGCGTCCTTCAAAATATAATAGATTATTCTTGAACTCAAACTTAGAAGGATCATGAGACTTGGAAGAATTATTCTCGATATCATAAACAAGAGGGTCTGAGGACATACTGGACTGGATTTGCTTGAGAAAAGTTGAATCAACAGTCAATGTTGATTTCATTGCTTGGAGATGAAATTGCTCCGGTTTCAAGAGGACCGTTCTTTGTTGCTCAAAAACTGCATCTCCTTCTTTTGGTGCAAAATAAGAACGTCTAGATAGGGCATCGGATAAACCTTGTTGTTTTCCTGGCCGATAAGTGATAATGAACTCGAATCTTGACAAAGACATACTCCAACGAGCTTGACGACGATTCAACACGCGTGCTGACATGAAATACTCGAGGTTCTTGTGATCTGTATACACAGTGACTGGACTAGAAGCGCCTTCTAGATAATGACGCCATTCTTGAAAGGAATCCACGATCGCAAGAAGTTCTTTATCGTGGATCTCATAATTGATCTCGGCTGCTGAGAATTTTCTTGAATGAAAAGCTATCGGATGGAGTTTGTCATCTGTTCCCATTTGTGATAAAACTCCACCCAAGGCAAAATCTGATGCATCTGTTTTCATAAAAAATGCCTTGGAAAAGTCAACACGATATAAGACTGGTGCAGAGACAAACGATGTCTTCAAGGCTTCAAATACTGCTTCCGCTTCTTGATTCCATTGAAATTTATCTTTACTAGTCAAGCGTGTAAGTGGAGCTGCAACTCGTGAGAAATCTTTGATGAAGATCCGATAGTAATTGGCAAATCCCAAGAAACATTGAACATCTCTTACCGTCCTTGGAATCTTCCAATCCACGATTGTTTGGACTTTCTTAGAATCCATGATGAGACCATCATTTGAAATGATGTATCCTAAAAAGTCAACTTGAGTAGTGTGAAATACACACTTTTCTATCTTGGTGTACAATCCTGTATCTCTAAGTTTTTGTAATACTTGACGAACATGTATTTCATGTTCTTCGACGTTCTTGGAATAGATCAGGATATCGTCTAGATAGCAGACGACAAAATTGTCTAAGAATTCACGAAATATATCATTCATGAGATGTTGAAAAGCAGCTGGTGCATTCGTGAGTCCAAAGGGCATGACATTATATTCGAAATGTCCATACCTGGTTCGAAACGCAGTCTTCCATTCATCTCCTTCTTTGATCTGTACTAGATTATATGCTCCTCTTAGATCTATTTTTGTATAGATCTTAGCTTGATTCAACTGGTCAAGGAGTCCTGATATCAAAGGTAATGGATACCTGTTCTTGATTGTGATCTTGTTGAGTCCTCGATAGTCAACACACATTCGTAAAGATCCATCTTTTTTCTTTACGAATAGAATTGGAGCTCCTGCTGGAGATTTTGAATGGCGTATGAAATTCTTCGCTAAATTCTCGTCAATATATGTCTTGAGTTCAGCCATCTCATCTTGCGATAAACTGTAAATTGGTCCAAATGGTGGCTGAGTTCCTTCCTTGAGGTCGATTGAACAATCATATGGGCGATGCTCAAGAAGAATATCTGCATTTTTTTTCTCAAAAACGTCTTGATACTCCTGATATTGACTTGGAATGCCACTTGAAGTCTTTACGTTTTCAGAAATAGGTGCAGCATAAATAGCAAAAGTTGATC